AATTTGATCATTCATACTCAATTGAACAAATTAAATCGGGCTAATCAACACAAAATTCTCAATGCTCTGATCAAAGATGATGAGAAAATTTTACAACATTGTGTTGCTTGAAGACATAACGTTTCATTTGGTATTTGCAATTTTTAGTTCCGAAGTGAACTTCAGCTGCAACCATCACTTGGATGTCAGCTGCAAACTTCAGTTGTTTGTCGATTGTCGCCATTTTGTTTCTCTCTTTCTCTTCGTATCTTCTTTTCTCCGGGACGACATAGCTATCACCGAGAGTAGCTTCTGCTGTGTAAATTAAATGAGTGACGAGGAAATTCAAAGACAAATATATCATGGGACTGTTTATTAACTAAAACCCTAATTTGCGACGACACAGAAGAAAAAAAAAACTAATTAGTCGAAACTATGGAAGCAGTAAGTTTAAAATTTCTATATATATATATACTTTTTTACTTATTTTTTTTTTTACTGCAGATCGATTCGAAAGTAACCAATGATGAATATCCAAATATTTGGAAAAAAAGAAGCAAATATATAAATGGTTTTATTCTACGAAATATACTATGAGAGGATCATTTAATAGATGCGTGTTATGCATATGATTTAGCTTACTTCTCTCACATTTGTTACACATACTCATTTTTAAGTAAATTTTGTTGTGGTCATTGAAGTTGTCCGTTTTTTTGGGCCTAAGGATTATTCATCTACCAAACCCAAGCTAATATCAACATTTGTTTTTATCAATACAAACCAATCCAATCGAGCTTATGTTAAGAAAAATAATGACTTATTGTTTTATCTATTTGTTTTGTGTGAGTACTTAAATGAGCAAAATGGTAAATTGAATTTTGAACTCTTTTTTATTTAAATAAAATATGGATTATACTTAGGAAGAGATCATATAAGATACTCTGGTCTATTGTCTGAAGGGATGTACGGGCCTAGGCCCAAAACTTCTTAATTATTCAAATAAAAAATATTGATAATTTGTTTTATGATTGCATATCAAATTATGGACTATAAGTAAAATAGTAAATCATATAATATAACTTAATCAATGAATGTAACTTATGACAATGCTCTAAAATATACTCTAAGAATTAAATGAAAACAACATGCATATATAAAATCCTTGATGCATAAAACATTAGGCATTTAAGGTTAACCAACAATACTGCAGCGGAAATAATTAGGGTCGGCCCTGAGCTAAAGCTGGTAAAGCCCTTGCTTTAGGCGCCAAAAGTTATATATAGTAGTAAAGGGTAACTCTTTTATAAAATATTATGTAGTGAAGTGGTTAGCCCCTAGGTAGTTGTCTTTTTGGTGCAAGGTTCGATTCCCTAATCTGTTGTTTTGTGACTTTATTAAATGTGTGGGCTTAAGAATGCTTTGGGCACCCAAATCTATTGGGCCGGCCCAAATACTTGTATCTGATAAGTTTGTTTTTAGTTTTTACTAATGTCATTTAAACAATATTGTTTTGGATCCCCATTTGGAAGTGTGGTTCTCCTAGACTCCTAATGGAATCAACAACTTTCAATATCTAAAGATGTAAGTTAACTATGACTTAGTAGAACAAAAAAACATAACTCTGAATTCAAATGTAGTAATTGCTGGTTGAAAGAAGTAATTATAAAGTTTTGCATCTTAACTAGTAGAGAAAGAAAAAGAGACAATAGAAGATCAAGAGAAAGAAAAAAAGACAATAGAAGATCAAGAGAATACTTAATGCAAAGGAAACAATAGAGATATGTTCTTAACACGTGTAGTTTCTTATGACTAATAGTAGACTATAAAGAAACATATCAATCTCTGACATATACGACATATTTGAATCATTTGCGTCTAAACTATTTGAAGAGAAGAGACAAATCGAGATTAAGAGAATATTTAATGCAAGAAAAACCGTAAAGTGAAGTTCGTCACACTTGTTATTTTCTGTGAACAATCAATTAACTTTAAGAGAACATATCCATCTCTTATATATACGACAAATTTGGAGCATTTACGTTGTTTTCTTCTGGGAGAAAAGAGACAAAAGAAGTTCAATCGAACTTAATTCAAGGAAAACCGTATAGTGAAATTCTCCAAACGTGTTATTTCATTCTTATTAAAATAACTGACTTTAATGAAATAGATCGATCTCTGACATGTACGATAGATTTTGAGCAGTTACGTTTTAAGTACTAAAAGGGAATATACAAATAGATATCACGAGAATACTTGATTCAAGGAATACCGTCAAGCAAAGTTATTCACACGTCTTGTTTCCTACAAACAAACAGTTGGCTTTAAGGGAACATATCAATCTCTAACATGTATGCCGAATTTGAAGCATTTGTGTTTTAAATTCTGGAAGAAACGAGACAAACAAAAGAAAAAAATAAACAATGCAAGGAAACCGTAGAATGAAGTTCTTGACACGTGTTTTTTCTTATGAACAATCAACTGACTTTAAAGGTACCGATCAATCTCTGACATGTACGGTAGATTTGGAGCATTTGCGTCTTAACTATTAGGAGAGAAGAGACTAGGGGTGTCAAAATGGATAAAAGTTAATGGATCAATCCAAACCAATCCAATCCATAGATATAATGAATGAGAAATTTGGATACTAATGGATTAATGGATTTAATGGATTAGTGAGTTTAATGAATTGGATTGAAATGGTTTATGTTAGAATGGATTAGTGGATTACTCATAACCAAACCAATAAAAATTAAACATTCTAAATCAAATGTCTAAACCAAATATAATCAAATCAAATGTCAAAACTGATTTTAATAAACCAATGTAGACATGATTTAACTATTAAATCCATGAAATAAATTTTTCCGCCAAAACGTGATTCAACATTTTCCCGCCAAAAATGCAATTCCGTAAAATTTTCCGCTAGAAATGGAATTTCGCATTTCCCGCCAAAAATATGATTCTACATTTTTCCGCCAAAAACGTGATTTCCTATTTTCCCGCCAAAACCGTGATTCCGCATTTTCCCGCCAAAAATGTGATTCCATGATTTTCCCGCCAAAAAGTGATTCCACATTTTCCCGCCAAAAATGCAATTCCGTAAATTTTCCCGCCAAAATGTGATTCCGTGATTTTCCCGCCAAAAAGTGATTTCACATTTTCCCGCCAAAAACATGATTTCGTATTTTTCCGCCAAAAACGTGATTCCGTATTTTCCCGCCAAAATGTGATTCCACATTTTCCCGCCAAAAACATGATTCCGCATTTTTCCGCCAAAAACATGATTCCACATTTTCCCGCCAAAAACATGATTCCGCATTTTTCCGCCAAAAAGCGATCCACATTTTCCCGCCAAAAACATGATTCCATATTTTCCCCCGCCAAAAGCGTGATTCCGGATTTTCCCACGAAAACGTGATTCCGTGATTTTCCCGCCAAAAACGTGATATCATAACTCATTTATGTCATTAATTATTATTTGTAGCATTATATGATGATAATATTTATTAATTAATTAATTATTTTATTTTCATGGATTAACTCATTTAACCATTAAACCATCAAATAATTGGATTAATGGATTGACTCAATCCATTTAACAAATGAGTTGGATCAACTCATAAACCATTTAAGCCTAAACTCATTGGATTATGGATCGGCTTGAATCGGTTTATCCATTTTGACACCCCTAGAAGAGACCAAACAAGATTTTAAAAATAATACTTAATGCTAGGGAAACCGTAAAGTAAAATTCTTCTTTCGTGTTAATTCCTGTGAACAATCAATTAGCTGTAATGAAACATATCAATCTCAGACATGTACGGCAAATTTGGAGCATTTACATTGCAACTTTTGGGAAAAGAGACAAAAGAAGATGAAGCGATCTTAATGTAAGGGAAACCGTAGAGTGAAAATTTTCATACGTGTTAGTTCTTATTAACAAACAACTAACTTTAAAGAAACATATCAATCTCTGACATGTATGACAGATTTGGAACTAACTCTGATCTTTTTGAATGTCGGCTCTAGAAAAAAGTTCGAGGAAAGGCAGATTGCTTAGTCCGTTATTCTAAAAGTTTACTTTTGGAAATTTCATTTGTAAACACTTTTCGTGGCTACCAATGATGGAGTGATTTTTTAATTAATGTGTGGTTGACAAAAAAAAAAGTTTGAGGAAAATATTCGTTAGTCTCTTAATTTTGTTTTAGAAATCTCAAACATTACAATAAAACTTAATGTTGGAATTATAATATTTTTATTAATTTGTAAAGATGGATACAAATATTAATTCGAGATTAGAATTTTTTTTTAAATACTCTAAAATACCACACTATTATGTTTTTGTTCCAAAAGTACCATTACTAGTTTATTTTCTCAATAATACAACAAATTTTTGTATAAAAATATTTGTTCAACCAAAATGAAATACAAATAAAATTTAAAAATAAATCTGGGTTCCCTAGCTATTTCCAATTTAAGGTTTATATTTCCACCATTTAAAAGAGATTTTGATTCATTTTAATATTGAATTTGTTGTATTATTAGAAAAACACTAGTGGTATTTAAGAAACAAAACTAAAAAATATGGTAGTTTAGAGAATTGTCCAAAAAATTTCAGTATATTGAGTTATTAATGTATAAAAAATTACTTAAGTAATCAACACAGAAACTGTTTTTCTCTTTTCACAAGTTGCATTTACCAAATTCTAACTAGGGATAAAATTCTAATTTTATCAAACCATATAGTAACATTCATGAATGGAGCGTTGAGCATTCTCCATTGGAAATTTTACGACTTAACTAACATAGTTAGGAGTCACAATGGGGAAGGCATAATACCTTGGGAAACAAGAAATTAAGAAAAAAGCAGCGGTGTTCCAAAAAAAAAGAATTTTTTAGAAGACAAATATTGCTAAAACAAATTTTTAAAAAATAAAAAAAGAATTCATTCAAGGAACACCAAAAAGAAACCAAAATATGAGAAAAAGACAAAAAAAAAAAAAAACATAACAAGAAGCATTTCATGGTAACGCCGTTTCACATGTTTTTTTATTATGTCCAGGAAGCTTGCATCTTGAACACTTGTGCTCTTTTCGTGGTCGCTTGTTCTCCATTGCAATCTCTAATGAGGATTGGATTCTTTTTTTCTTCGGTCGACCTGAACGACGTCGACCTTGAGGAGGTAAACACTGACTTTTTTCAACTTCAGATGGTATTTGGATATCATTAAGAATCCCTTGAACAGGATAGATGGACTCAGAATATGCAGCAAATAGAAAAGCTCTCGTGTAGCAAGGATCTGAGAGCGTGTGCTCAGGAATCTGTTTTTTCGTAGCAACTGCAATGGCATGCATACATGGAATCTTCTTTATATCAAACGCACGACATGAACAACTCAATTTCTGTATGTCAACTACAGCGTCTTGTGAGCCACCAGTCACATGAAACTGATTTAGATTTATAGGCTGCACCGCAAGTGTGTTTGCCTCTTCACGTATTTTCTCAATTTCACGGGCAGCATATGGTCCAAGTTCTGTGACAAGTTTTGCAGCTTTTTCTCGACGCTCACAAAACCAGCGAGTTAGAGTAGCCCGCACATGATCGAGAAAAGCTACGATGGGGTACTCTCTTGCATCTTTCAAAAGTCCATTGATTGATTCGGCAGTGTTAGTTGTGGTGATGTTGTACCTGTTTCCTTGGAAATGAGCCGTAGACCATAATCGAATATCCGCATCTTCCAAGTATTTGCTCAGCTTTGGATTAAGACGACGTATCTCATCCATGACATTGGTAAAGTCATCACGTAAAATAGTATTTGCAGCTTTCGTAACCAAGTGAAATAATTGATTTGTTCCGAAATTGGTTTTGATGTTTTTCTCAAGGTGAAAGAAGCATATCCCACGATTTGCAGAGGGAAACACCTTTTCAATAGCTATTTCAATAGACTCATGTCTGTCAGAGATAAACACCAAATCAGGATGATCAGGGATAACTGATTTCAAACGAGAAAAAAACCATTCCCAAGCTGCGTTGTTCTCGGAATCAACAATTCCAAATGCAATAGGATATATATGATTATCTCCATCTTGAGCAGTTGCAACTATGAGAGTACCCCTAAACTTTCCTTTGAGAAACGTCCCATCCACTGCGATTACTTTTCTCATAAATTCAAATCCTCTTAAACATTGACCAAGGGCAAAAAATAAGTACTTAAATCTCTGGTTACCTTCAAGCTCTAGGTAGGCAATTGTACCAGGATTTGCTTTCTTTATCTTGTAGATGTACTTAGGGAGCTGCTCATAACCACTTTCAGGAGAACCTCTCATCAATTCACGAGCTTGCTCTAAAGCATCCCAAAGTTGGTGATAAGTTAGCGTTAAACCATAATTTTTAAGTAATGGTTTCTCCAAATCCCTTGGTTTCAATCCATTGCTAATACCACCAAAAAGATCCAATATGAGTTGGCCTATAACTTTCGGTGTAATTGATCCTAGTGCAAAACTTCTTTGTTCAGCAGAACATGTATGCACATCAATGTACTTTCTAATCCAGAAATACTCTGTTGTTTCATCCTTTGTGGTTGCTCGCACCCTCCAAGAGCACCCATTATTTTTGCACACAACAACAAGCTTTGTAGGATCTGATTTTGAAACTCTCCAGCCAAACTTATATTTTACTAAAAGCATCCACAACCTCTGCTGTATTTCATATTTGCTCTTAAAGTATTCACCCACTTTAATGTCCGTGTTGTTAGAAGAAAGAATATTGTTGTTGTCACCACCATCGTTTTTATCATAATGATCACCAAGATCAACATGATCTCTAATTTCACCACGAGTAACAAATAACTCATCAGCGACCTGAACTTTATGATTCTCACCACTCGTAGCAAATACTCATTGACGAGCGAAACTTTACGATTCTCTTCGCCTTTTCTTTTCACTGAAACACAAAGTCGGACAGGGTTAGATTTGCTAATTTCAATGAAACTCCTTACTTGTCGATCACTTGTCAGAAACACAGGAGGAGGCGTTTCATTTGACATATTGCCTAACATTATCTCAGGTAGTGCATAACTAAGTTCAACATTATGCACTGAACTATCTAACTGGTATTCTTCTTTAGCTATCTGAAGTAGTCCGGCATACGACATATCATCCACTAGAACGAGTAATTTGCAGCCCTTGGTTTGATCTACTGTAAAATGCCATACGTTCTTTAGCGCCCAATCACCAAAAACTGCAATTGCAATTGTATGTACCATGTTTCTGTGGAAAAAAAAATTTACAAATTAGTTTCACACTCTACATTATAACTTTACGAAACTGACTTTACATAATAACTTTACCTAAAAACTTTAGCAAACAACTATACTTAAAATCTATATAATAATTGTGTGAAACTAAATTATTAGAAAACTTTGCAAATTAACTTTACCTAAAAACTATAGCAAACAACTGTATTCTTAAATCTATATAATAATCGTGTGCAATTAAATTATTAGAAAAATTTGTAAATTAACTTTACCTTAAAACTTTAAGGAACAACTATACTTAAGATCTATATAATAACTGTGTGAAACTAAATTTATGAAAAAACTTGATAATTAACTATATTGAAATACTTTATTAAACAAATATACTTAAAGATCTACCAAACAACTATCAACAACTCAAAATTTTCTCATTACTACTAGATCTACAACAGTTTGCAAAAACAGTTTTCCAAAAAACTAGATCTACGTTACAACTCTTCATGGAATAACTTAAATACGCTCCTAATAACAACAACTCATGCACGTACATAGATCTACGTAAAACACATAACAACTTTTCTCAATAACTTTACCTAATAATTCTATTAAACTAGATCTACGTAACAGTTTTCCAACAAACTTTACCAAACAAATATATATTAAATTTTATATAATAACTGTGCAAAACTTTCTATATTATACTCTACTAAATAACTTTTTCAAAGAACTTTAGCAAAGACTGCATCTTTAAATAACTTTGCAAGAAATTTATGTACATAAACGTTATAAAGAATATGAAACTATGCACAATACTTACTTTTCTTTAGAACTGACAAATCGTTTTTTAATGGAGTTTGGTTTGATAAACACTTATATATACGTAACTAACAACATAGTTCACATAGGATTAGGGAATTAATTTAGAGTTATATTATTAAAAATTATTCTAGATTAGTTTGGCACATTCTCCAGATTTTATCTTCAAATTTTATCATAATCAATAAAAAATAAAAATTCAAAAAAAATCTCTAACTAACGTGGGCTAGATAGAATTATAAACGTTAATTTAGAGTTATATTATTAAAAATTATTCTAGATTAGTTTGGCATATTCTTCAGATTTTATCTTCAAAATTTATCATAATCAATAAAAATAAAAATTTTAAAAAAATCTCTAACTAACGTGGCTGTAATTTGTTATTATGTTAAATCATATCATAAGGCTAATTTTGTCTTTGTTAGTGTACATCTTAAATTCTAAAAGATATGGCCTAGATTAATAATTTGGGTTTGTTTTTAGATTTTTTTCGTAATTTTCCCTAAATAAATTATTCTCTAATTTTTTTTATTTCGTGTAATTTTTAAAAAATTTAAAAATACGAGATTCTTTTTATATATAAGAAAAACAAATGGACGTTTTCGAGGAAAAAGAGGAGAAAGAAATAAAACGGAAAAAAAAAAGTTGCTGGTTTAGGCAAATTAATAATAATTGTGTAAAGACGGGAGGACAAGCGTGAATCAGAAAAGACTACTGTAACCGTAGCTTTAAAAGCGGCAACGCGCCGCCTCATACGACAACCTCGTAAAACCGAACCGAAATCAGCCACGTGTCTTATTCCAAAGCACGTGTAATACACTCTCTGTAAGTGAGAGTGTTGTTGAGAAAAGAATTTGGCAATAAAGGACGGATCAAAATTAAAATAAACAAAAAAGGAAGGAAAAACCAAAAAATCAAAAGCTGAGAAAGTAAATGGGAAACGACGACTGAGAGACTCTTCTTCTTCTTCTCCTTCTTATTCATCGTTCATTTCTTAGGTTTTCTGATTTCATCATAACCTCTGGATTCGATTTTTGATTCGGAGGTGAAAAAATCGTTTTGTGGGTTTTGCGATTCGATGAACTAGGGTTTGTAATTTCACTATCTTCGATTCTTTTACTCATCGGGTGAGAAGGAAGCTTCTTTCATGTGTTCTTCCGTGTAATCGTCTGTTTTATTGGGCTTAGAAGCTCTAGGTAAACCTTAATTTCTTCTTTTAGAGTACTTGATTCATCGGATCTGTGTTTTTTTTTGTGGGTTTTTGGTTCAGAGTCATGATCTGTAGCTTTATCTCTGTTAGGACTTTAAAGTCATCAACTTTGCTTTTTCTGTAATGGGTATTGATTCTGCTGATGAAAGTTTTCGAATCTTATGGTAAATAGTTAACCTAAGTTGGTGTACTTGGGTTTCTTTGTTCTGAATAGCTCGTCTTTCTTAATTTGGGGATGTGCATGGTCTTTGAGAGCAAAAGTTGTTGTTTTTGGTGTACTTGTCTCTTCTCTCTTGTTTGAGGATAGTAAGATCATTTTACTGATGACTAGTTCTGTGGATGAGTCATTTGTTTCCAGTTTTGAGGTAATGCTTCTTTTTTTGTGTTATCTTTTAGTCTAAAGATTTTATTTGTGTGTCTTTGCAGTTTGGTCAGAGAATTCGTAACAAGTAAATCCTAGATTGGGGGAAGATGCTTGAGGGAGCAAAGTTCAACGTGCTTGCTGTTGGGAATCATCACAACAATGACAACAATTACTATGCTTTTACGCAAGAGTTTTATCAGAAACTTAATGAAGGTTCAAACATGTCCATGGAGAGTATGCAGACGAGTAACGCTGGAGGATCTGTCTCAATGTCTGTGGATAACAGTAGTGTTGGTTCCAGCGATGCTCTTATTGGCCACCCTGGTTTGAAGCCTGTGCGCCATTACTCACTCTCGGTTGGACAAAGCGTGTTTCGCCCGGGAAGAGTTACCCATGCGTTGAATGATGATGCCTTGGCTCAAGCACTGATGGATACCAGGTATCCAACCGAAGGGCTGGCAAACTATGATGAGTGGACGATTGATCTGAGGAACCTCAACATGGGTCCTGCCTTTGCTCAAGGGGCTTTTGGTAAATTGTACAAAGGGACTTACAATGGGGAAGATGTAGCAATCAAGATACTGGAGCGGCCTGAGAACAGCCCAGAAAAGGCACAGTTCATGGAGCAGCAGTTTCAGCAAGAGGTGTCTATGCTTGCCAATTTGAAGCACCCAAACATCGTGAGGTTCATTGGTGCGTGTCGCAAGCCAATGGTGTGGTGTATAGTGACTGAATACGCCAAAGGAGGTTCAGTGAGGCAGTTTTTGACTAAGAGACAGAACCGAGCCGTCCCTTTGAAGTTAGCTGTTAAACAGGCTTTGGATGTTGCTAGGGGTATGGCTTATGTCCATGGACGCAACTTCATACACAGAGATCTCAAGTCAGATAACCTTCTCATCTCAGCAGATAAGTCCATCAAGATTGCAGATTTTGGTGTTGCAAGAATTGAAGTTCAAACTGAAGGAATGACACCAGAAACCGGAACTTACAGATGGATGGCTCCGTAAGTTTCCAAAGGGACTTGTGATATTTTTCACCCTTTTTTGCGTTCTTAGCTTCTGCAAATTACATTAATATAAACTATGTTTCTGTTGATGCAGAGAGATGATACAGCATAGAGCCTACAATCAAAAAGTGGATGTGTATAGTTTCGGGATCGTGCTGTGGGAGTTAATCACAGGACTATTACCGTTCCAGAACATGACTGCTGTACAGGCAGCGTTTGCGGTTGTAAACCGAGGAGTGCGTCCAACAGTCCCAAACGATTGTCTCCCGGTGCTGAGTGACATCATGACTAGATGTTGGGATGCTAATCCAGAAGTCCGTCCATGTTTTGTGGAGGTTGTGAAGCTGCTTGAAGCTGCGGAAACAGAGATAATGACGACAGCGAGAAAAGCCCGTTTCAGATGTTGCTTGAGCCAGCCGATGACGATTGACTAAATAATCCTCCCCTCAAGCAAATAACAAAGAGAGAAAGAAGAAGAAGATATAAGAAAAAGGGCTTTAGATATAAGTTTGTGTGTCAGTATGTGTCTCCGTGTGTGTTTGTGTATCTATAAAAATCTGAAATGTATTTTGTTTTCTCATGATAGGAGAAGTAAGTAACCCCACCACCACCATTTTAGACTTACTGATTTTCTAGTTTTATTTTTCTTTTTTCGTTTGTGTATTAAGAAGAAATCGAATGTGGGAACCTTGTGTCCCAACAAGTGTTTGCTTATTAGCATTTCTTCTCTTCTCTTCGTTATTAGCTTTTCTCAGTCAATTCATCATTTTCCACTAAGTTTCTGTCCCATGAAACGTAAACGGACAGAAAATTTGATCATAGTGAGCTAAAATCTGATCAAAGAGTAACTGATTGTGACTTTCACTTGTGTCCTATTGTAGGGAGGGACTGTACAACGGTGTCGTTAAGGTGATGTATTTAGGCTCTTTGTGTATTACCATTCCTTTTGGTTTAACTTCCAGTAACTATCTGTGGTGCTGACACTACTCCAGAAGCTATCATGTGCCTCCCAACCTGGAATGTTGAAAAATAGAGAAGTTGGATAACTTGGGTTGAGTCAGAAAGAAGTAATATTGTTAGATAGAGAAGAATTGAAGTGAACCTTGATAGGTCTTGAATAGAACATTGTGCCGCTCAGAGCTATTGCTTGGTTAACTGACTCCTTTGTAGCAAAAGTCACAAAAGCAGAACTGGAGAAGGGAAGGTTTTATTTGCAATAAGGACGATTTCTTGCTTAAAAGTGACTTTGTGCGTAGTCTATTGCAACGAACAAGAAATTATGAGGAAGAGAGGATTTTACCCCTTTGGATGCCGAGTTACTGGATCAGTTACAATTGTCACGTTTTCGACAGCTCCACACTTGCTGCTGAAGAACATTGATATAGCTTCTTTCTTTGCTGCATAGTTTACCTGATAAGTTCATTGAGAAGTTATTTAGATGAGTTCCAGATGTTTTTTAAGTGTTAGTGAGTTTCAAAATTAGAATGCATTCGAGAGAATTGGACTATTTCTCAATCTTAGATTCATGTGTAATAAGGAAATAGACTGCACAAACAAAAGATAAGAGGAAACCCTGTAGACTTACGTTAGTAACATGTATGATTCTTGATTCTGTGACATCTTGCTGATACTGTGATTCGCCTGGAAAGAAGTTGCAACGAGGCAGCAGGACAGTCAGGGAAGTAGTTAAGCGGAAATATCTTATTATAAATGAAGGGGAAATGTTAGCTGCTCCAAAACATAAGAGTTTCCATACCAGATTGTGGTGAGGGTTTGAGTTCTTCAATTTTCTGTTTCTTCAACTGCTTTGATTGAATAATTCGGAGTTCTAGTTCTTGCATCTTTTCTTTCACGTTCTTTATTTCCTGATAAAAGAAAGAAGAACAGCATCATTTGAAATGTGAGGAATCAATAGTCACATGAATGACAGCAATAAAGCATAACTATCAAATAACGTACTGAAAAGATATCTGGCTTTGTGGACTGATAGGAGAGAAGGCTCGGCTTTTCAACATCCTCTTCAGCTTGCTTATATTGGAGAACACTGCTAAACTCTCCTGAATTGGGGTTGACGATGCCATAACGCCTCTTTCTGTTCAGGTTATATGCAATATGCGGTTCAGTGGATGTGATAATTCCACTCTCAGGTTTCCTAGCTTTATCGGATTGGGAAACTCTGTGCCTGTAACCAACTGCAGGAACTTCTCTTTGAAATATCTCGCTATGTTGTTCACTATACACTTCAGGAAATACTGGTCCATGCTGCTGAACCCCTTTGTTTTCATGTGCCTTGATATCAGACTTAGACAATGTACGGCTTTCTGAGTCAAGAACACGTTTGGAGCTTGCTCGTCCCAAACGATCCCAGACACTAACATGAGGCGCCGTTTCTTGGTGTGGAGATGCATCATGGTATCTTGCAGACACAGCTCTTCCTGAGACGTTTTAATTAGAGCAAAAATGTCACTCGTCATATCTTCAGAAGATCATAACTTGTCAAGAAGCAAAATAGTACCTATTGGAACAAACTGAGAATCCAGTTCTCTTTCTGGCAAGTATGGGTGCTTCTTTAGGATTCTACTCCTTTCATTCATAGACTGCTTCATATTTGTGCAAGGATCAATTAAGAGATGGAAATTGCATAAACAATTGATAAACCAATTCAGAACCAGAAATTATTAACCTTCCAACCTTTTCATATTTAGCAGGATTCCTATCACATGGTTGCCTAGTGGCTGAAACGATGACCGAGCGCAGTATTTTTCTAGAGTAACCAGACGAGTTCCAATCTTCTTTCTTTCTTCGTTGTGCCCTTCTACAAGGGCTATCAATGAGCTCTTGTCGTAACACCTTCATTTTTTCAACTTTTGGTGATACAGGAGCCTCGATGTCTTCTATGGGAGCAGTAACTGATATCAGCTGTTCCTACAAAGCCATTCACATTAAGTCCGTGACCAAAAACTGGTGCAACATTCACACATATGAAAGAAACATATGTCCTAGTCTTACATTCATCGAATTAGTAGCACCGGCAGCTTTGCAATCATAATCATCATGCTTTTTGGAGCTTAAACCTTGTTCAATTAGAGTATCATTAACGCCAAAGTCAACAGCAGTCTTAGGTCCAGAAGCAGAATTAATTTGAGAGAAGTAGTTCACTAGAAGCTCCCATAAGCTGAAAAGAAAACACACACATCAAAATCGCATGTTAGTCACCGATACCTGTATCAAACCAACAAAGAAGGGATGCAAATAACAAACCAGGTAACAAATTTCCAAGATTGCTCCCTAAGAAATGCCTCCAAATCTTCGCTTACCTGTCTCTGATTCTTTCCATTACAAACAAGCACCGTAACATACTCCTGAAACAATCTGATTCATCAGTAAACACGAAAATCACCTGATTCTTAAACAAAATCAGTCATCAACCTGCAATTTCTGCTCCCACAGATCAAATATACAATTCAACAAGATGAAATCAGTCCAAACAAAGTGATTACATACACATAGACCTATTACAGATCCTGTAACTCAGATATTTCTGCAACATAACCTCATACAAGAGAAATTTCCATCGAACAATCAAAACAATAAGGGAAAAAGTAAAAGACAAGCACCGATATCAAATCCGTCGGATAAAATTCACATGAAGAGAGACGACGAAGATAATGTTACTTCTGTGAGCAGAGAACAGTGCGTACAAGAGCAAAAGTAAAAACCAAGGAAATCGAACTAAAAACCTAAGAATCGTCTCTAGAACAAAGAGGAAGATGAAGAAAAAAGAAGAAGATGACGAACAGCGAGGTCGTCGGAGTAATCGTCAGTGAAGCGAGGAAGCATATCGGAGATGAAGAATTTAAGTCGAGAAGCCGACTCCGATTCTCTCGACATCCGAAATGTGAGTCCATCTTTAGTCATCTTCGTATTCACTGACCTTGCACTTCTCGCGGCCGCGATTCTCGAAATTTCGCTCGTCGCCGGTGGATTCGTCGGAACCAAGCGAAGCGCAACTTTGGGGAAAACGACAAAAAATGAACACAGTGCTATTTCTGTTATAAAAGGCCCATTCTGCTGCGCAGGCCAATTTCCCTCCCTCGAACATTAATAATTTTGGAGTAGGGTTTTTAATCAGGTTTTAAACTTTTAATTAACATGTTGTTTTTGATTAAAAAGCTTTTAATTAAACATCTTGACGAACAAAAGATAATATAGAGAATTTTACTACTACTACTACAAAAAAAAAATTTCTGGTAACCAAACATTTAAATTAAAAAGAAATTACTTGATTGATTGTCAAAATATTTATCTTACCACTGAAAAAGAAAAGAAAATTTTGATATAATCAATTTTTATACTATTGGCAATAACTTCATTTTATCAACCATTCTATGAAATAACAAGTTTACAGATTTATGTTCTAGATATGTAGATAGAGAATATTTTTACGAATATTAATAATAAACTATATCAACTAAATTTTGACATTTTTACTCATTAGATATTAAAATTTAATTTTTGTAGGAACGTTATTAATAAATTTTCGCTTTTATAATTGATTTCACGAATAATATGACTAAAAGACTACTACCACGTTAGCTCCGGTTTTTTTTTATTTTTATTTTTTAACCAGAATTTTATGGACTTTCCAAAAAGCAAATGAGTTTGGGCAATTACAACAATAGTCCAGTTACAAAATGGAGAGACCAGAAATCGGTGCCAGGAAAAAAAAAGAAGATCGGATTCTATTGTTTCCCGGTGGGCAGAGAGTCGGAAGCACTAGTTCCGGCGGATTCAAGCTCCACGGCTTCGTGGTAGCAACGCTGGATCGAAAATCAACGACGGAAGAAACCGGTTTCCATCATCGATCCCTTTCCTACGAGCCACCTGACCCGCTACAGATCTCCCGAAATGCTTAACCTTCCGATACACCGGCACTACGTTGTCAGGTCCCGACCTAGCAACCTGACAAACCAGATCTATCCCCTCTCTTCTAGATCTGAACATTTCTACCCCTCCAAGCAAGAACCCTTCGATTCAGACTAGTGGAGACAAATCGTGGCGAATCCAGGGACCGATGGCTCAAACAGATCCACTGAAGCCGACCTCCACGACCGCCATCTAAGATCCACAGGATCTATAGCTAACCACCAATCGAACAGCATAACCCACCTTTCTTCCCTCGACTTCCGCTGTAGCCGCAGCGGCCAAATTGACGGCTGAGCCACGAGAGTCTCTGTCCCTCAACCTTCCGGCGTCCTCTACCAGTGGCTCGAGAACATAACTTTTCTACCGCCAATCCGGATCCACAGCTACATCGAGAGGAAGAGATACCACACCGCTGCTGCCGGAGAAAAGATTCTACTTGTTGGTGTCGGATCCCGCACCAGAAGTCCGAGACCAACCAAAGATTGCCACGTAGTCAAGATAATGGCCCATAAAGGATAAAGCCCATTGGACCCATGAAGCCGAAGGAACGGTTGAAGTGGTTGTCACCACTTCGAGAATCCGAAGTGACTGCACTGTGACATTAGTTCGGTGTAGAAGACACGGGTAAGTCGGTTCAAGGACACTTGGGCCAAAAAGGCGAGGCCCATGAAGATCAGAGTCAACTCAAATTCAAACGTTGAGCATTAAAGTCAAGGAATCAAAACGGACACATTTAAGAAGGAATAATTGTACTTAATTACTCATTTTAATGTCGTTTCTCTATGTATAAATATGGAGGCCAATGGCCATGTAAAGGACACATCTCTCTTTTGAGCAAGAAATACGATAGCAATTTTTGTATTCATAAGCCTTTTGCGTTCTTATTTTTTGTCCCTCAAGAATAATCTTTCCTACTAATAAAAATACTTGAGTGTGTGAATCCGACATCAACATTTTGGCGCCGTCTGTGGGGAAAGAGGATTCTTGAGTGGTCAGATTTTTTCTTTATTACACTTCCGAGATAAGCAACAATATCCGGAGGAGACGCCGTTGAGACATCATTGGCCGAAACCCTCAAAGCTATGCAGCAAACCATGTCGGATATATCACAAAAGTTCTCGGATGTGGAAAAGGCCGTCGATACGTTGCAAACATCCCAGGTATCTCTTAGTCAAAACGTCAACACTATACAAACTCGTGTTCGCTCTTTAAGTGCAGGAAACCTTGTGGGAATCCGAAGAGGGATATTCAACTCGCCAAGTTCCGCTACACGAAATGAAACCAGCGGACAAACAACTCCCGGTGCTACTAATAATGTAGCTCAGACGTTGGAAGAAGAGACACAGCTCGGAGATGAAGAACAACTTGCAGCTCAATACGAGCAGGAGAACCTCGACCAGTTCGAGACCATGAGGAAGGTTAGCCAGGAATTAAAAGAAATGAAATCAAAATTTCATCAAGCTACAAGTTCGGAGCCAGACATCAATCGAGTCATTGAAGAAGCTAGGCGAACACCTTTCATCTCGCGAATTGCAAGTTTGAGGATCAAAGATTCCCGGAAACTCAAGTTGGACCCTTACAGCGGATTGGAGGATCCAAAAAGCTATCTCGCAGCTTTTCTGATCGCTGCTGGAAGAGTCGAATTGGATGAAGCTGATGAGGACGCAGGTTACTGCAAATCTATGTGGCCAAGCTCTAATGTGGTTCACCCAATTAGAGCCGGGTTCGATAAGCAATTTTGACGAACTGTCAGCCGTATTCTTAAAGCAATATTCCATCCTTATGGATAAAAGCGTTTCGGATGCCGATCTTTGGAACTTATCGCAAGGGTCAAGTGAGTCACTTCGAGTTTTCATCACCAAGTTCAAAGGAGTGCTGTCAAAGCTCCCAAGAATCTCACAGCAATCAGCTTTATCTGCCCTACGAAAAGGGTTGCGACATGATTCAAGGTTTAAAGAAGACTTAATACTTCATAAGCCAGACACAATTCAAGATGCACTCTTCCGTGCAAACAATTGGATGGAAGTAGAGGACAAGAAAGAAAATTTTGCCAAAAGAAATAAGCAAGAAAAGCCGGCAATCACCGTACCTACCAAGAAGTTCGAGCCTAGGGAGAGCAAAGGACCAAGAAAATTCGGGTCGCAACCCTTCAACAGTACTGTCAGAAAGCAATTCCAAGGAAAAGGAAGGTCAAACACTTGGGTCCGCGATGAAAGTTTATATTGCGATATTCATAAAGTAACCGGACATTTAACCAAGGATTGTAGTATCCTTAAAAGGCACCTTGCGGAGCTTTGGGCCAGTGGAGATCTTTCCAAATTCGATATAAAAGATTTTGTGAAGGAATACCACGAAGCAAAGGAAAAAGATCAAGATTCCAAAAGACCAAGGTTATCCAACGAGGAAGAACCAAGGAGTTCGAAGGGTAAGATCAATGTGATTCTAGGAGGCTCCAAATTTTGTCGAGAATCGATAAGTTCCATCAAAAAACATAGACGAAATGTCTTACTCAAAGCAAGCTTGAGCGAAGAAGTTGATTTTCAAGGTGCCTCAATATCATTTAACGAAGAAGAAACGCGGCATCTCGAAAGACCGCATGATGATGCTCTAGTCATTACCCTTGATGTTGCTAACTTCGAAGTATCAAGGATCCTTATCGATACAGGCAGTTCGGTCGACTTGATATTTTTAAGTACTTTAGAAAGAATGGGAATCAGCCGAGGAGACATAGTAGGACCCCCATCTCCATTAGTTGCGTTCACAAGCGAGTCAGCCATGTCTCTCGGAATAATCAAGCTACCGGTCCTTGCCAAGAAGGTATCGAAGATCGTGGACTTCGTTTTCTTCGATAAGCCCGCAGCTTACAACATCATCCTCGGGACTCCCTGGATTTATCGAATGAGAGCAGTCCCCTCTACATACCATCAATGTATCAAATTTCCAACATCAAATGGGGTGGAAACAATTCGGGGAGATCAAGAAGCTTCACGGACGTGTTACTTAGCTAGCCACCGTTTGAAGATCCAATAGCAATTAACAAAGCCCGCAAAAGAAGGACTAAGGCAAAAATTTCCTAGTGGGCAGGAAAAAGAGGATGTAGTAGTCGAAGTGGTATTGGAAGAAGACAAACCAGATCGGAAAGTCCGAATTGGAGCAACTTTGACTGGCCAAATAAAAGAAGCTTTGGTCGAACTTTTAAGGAGAAACAAAACATCGTTTGCATGGTCAGCAGCAGACATGCCTGGTATAGATCCAAATATAATTTGTCACGAGCTAAACGTGGATCCGAGCTTCAAGCCGGTGAAACAGAAAAGAAGAAAGCTCGGAGTGGAGCGAGCCAAAATAGTAAATGACGAAGTGGATAAACTTTTGAAGATAGGGTCCATAAGAGAAGTACAATATCCGGAATGGGTAGCAAATACTGTCGTTATCAAGAAGAAGAATGGGAAAGATAGGGTCTGCATCGACTTCACAGACCTCAATAAAGCATGTCCCAAAGATAGTTTCCCGCTCCCACATATAGATCGACTTGTAGAGTCCACCGCTGGGAACGAGCTGTTAACATTCATGGATGCCTTCTCGGGTTATAATCAAATAATGATGAACCCCGAAGACCAAGAAAAAACGTCATTTATCACTGATAGAGGTATCTATTGTTATAAGGTAATGCCTTTTGGTTTGAAAAATGCAGGAGCAACTTATCAACGGTTGGTTAACAAGATGTTCCATAATCATCTCGGGAAAACAATGGAAGTCTACATAGATGATATGTTGGTTAAATCGTTAAAGAAAGAGGATCACGTTAAGCATTTAGAGGAATGTTTTGATATTCTCAATAAATATCAAATGAAGCTGAACCCGGCGAAGTGCACATTTGGAGTCCCATCCGGAGAATTTCTTGGTTATATCGTGACAGAAAGAGGGATTGAAGCCAATCCAAATCAAATTAACGCCTTTCTAAAAATGCCCTCTCCAAGAAACTTCAAAGAAGTACAACGGTTGACTGGGCGGATTACGGCTCTGAATCGTTTTATCTCGAGATCAACAGATAAGTCGTTGCCTTTCTACCAAATTCTAAAAGGGAACAAAGGATTCCTTTGGGATGAGAAGTGTGAAGAAGCTTTTGGGCAGCTTAAGGCATACTT